TCCACCAGCTGGATTGGGTCCAGCCCGGCAGAATCCACTGGTACTTTCGGCCATACATGCTGAGATTATACACCTGTGACACAAAAGCATGTTTATGGTTTATGCTGTATTAAGGTGTGGTGCTAACTGCAGTACTAAAATGCTTACTCATTTCCATGTTTTGGCCTACGAAAAAATGCATCATCCCTGCAGCACTCTATAATCTAAAGAGCCTTTTCCCACAGTAAAGTACCTGTTGTGCAATGGAAAGGTTCTATGGATGTTAATGGTTCTTCATGGAACCATCAGTGCCAATTAAAGAATAAGTGCTGGGACATACTTACACAGCAGAAGACTTTAGCAGCTACGCTCACATCAAAATGAGCTATCGCTACTCTCACATCATTGTCCTGTTAAAAAAATAGTCAAGGATGATAAATATCTACAGATATATTATGCACTGTGATCTGTGGATGTGCATTATAAAAACAACGTTTAGCTTTCATGCAACTCTGTAGTGACGCACTTTAGTATAAATAAGCCTTGAAAAGTTCTTTATTGATTTATAGAATGTGTGTGAGGAAACCAGACTATTGTATACAGGCCTTCAGTTTTTTCATACTATCACAAGGGGCTTCAAAGAAGCTCTCTGCCTCTGCAAGCTGGATGTTAGCCGCCCCCAGATGTCTGCTTAAGACTCTCTGTATCTTTTTGAGAGAAGGTGAGTTTTCAGTTCACATTCTATCGAGCTCCATATACTTAATCATATTGTCCCTAATTAGGATTACCTCTGTGAACCTGTGCTCACGCTGAGTCAGTGTACCAACTCTACTCCATCCATACTGCCTGAGAAACCTCACCAGCGCCACATTAACTGCACTGTCTGAGGACACAGTACGGAAGACGTTTGGAAATCTTCTTTTGTTGGCCAGTGAAGGTGCGGTTACTGCAAATGACAGCTGAGAAATGCAGAAATAGTTCCGAAAACAAATAAAACCAAGTCTCTCAAGAATTTCCTTGAGTTGACCAATACAAATGCCATGGAAGTGGCGATAATCATTCTGATTTTTTGAGTACCTGCACAAGGTTCCAACCTTCCAGAGACTGGGCTAAGATGTCACTGACGAACACACCCCTCCAAAGATGTGTAACCATGTGATTACCATGTACAATATATTTAACAATACTACAAATATGAAATAAAAGGTTATCATGCTTATTCCATTAACAGACAAAGTTTTATATATGCCATTATATCACTGTTACTCAAAAAGTTTAAGAAATTTTGCAAAGTAAGCAGAAAATACAACTTAGTTTGTAATATATTTAGTTTAGTCTGTATGAGACTAAAAGATTAGAAACAAATATATAAATAAACAGAGAGACTTTTTTATTTTTTTTATTTTCAACAGTAGCATTAGCATTAGCAACACTGGTAGGTTAGGGCTCTTTCATTTATAAACAGAAATCTAACTGCTATAGTGTGACACTGCCACAGTAAAGCCTGTATGATGCTCACTAGGGATAAAGATTTAAAAAAGGTCCTTCGTTCATCTTCGGAACACAAATTGCAGTTAAGATATTTCTGATGAAATCCAAGAGCTTTCTGACCCTGCATAGACAGCAATGCAACTGCAACCTTCCCAGCCCCAGAAAGGTAGTAAGAACATTGTTAAAATAGTCCAAGTGACATCAGTGGTTCAACCGCAATTTTATGAAGATTTTATGAATACTTTTTGTGTGTAAAGAAAACAAAAATAACAACTTTATTCAACCATTTCTTCTCTTCTGTGTCTGCCTTCGACGCGTGTTCACGACAGTACCACGAAGCATGCGTGTGGTGCTGCTGACGCAGGAGCCGCCTTTTTGATGTAGAACACGGATGCACTGTGCCTTGTTTACAAGCAGAAGAAGACGCACATGAAACAGTCTTCGTAAGATTTCAACAGAGAGGATGATTTGCTATTTTTTTGCCCAGCCTTTCTCATTTGAACCAGAATATAGCAGGTGATGAACTAAGAGAGATGGACGTTCTACATCAGAACAGCAGCACCACATGTGTCATAGTATTCTCGTGAAAGTGCGGCAAAGACTGACACGGAAGAGAAGAAATTGTTGAATAAAGTTATTTTTCTTTTCTTTGTGCACAAAAAGTATTCTTGTAGCTTCATAAAATACGATTGAACCACTGATGTCACATGGACTATTTTAACGATGTCCTTACTACGTTTCCGGACCTTGAACGTGGTAGTTCCCTTGCTATCTATGCAGGGTCAGAAAGCTCTCGGAATTCATCAAAAATATATTAATTTGTGTTCTGAAGATGAACAGAGGTCTTACGGGTTTGGAACGACTTGAGGGTGAGTAATTAAAAACAGAATATTTATTTTTGGGTGAACTATCCCTTTAACTCCAAAGCAATGGTCCAAAATTATTTTTGATTTCAGACATTTGAGCTGTTTTATAAGTGCACGCTCTGGACTGGGATATACATTTTTTTCTGACTATACTCTGAGGACCTTTTTTTCAGCTTTTTTTTTTTTTTTTGGTGGGGGCCTTGAACCAGCAGATAATACCTTTTCTCATTTTGTGGACATTTTATTTTTTCATCTGGATTTTCGGTTTGCTGCCTTCCTCAAAGCAGAAAAGGACTAAGTCAACAGACTGATGAGTATTATCTTTATCATTACTTTTTATTTCTATGGACTAAGGGGCTGGTGTGTTGTGACCAGTGAGCCTATTTATGGACTTTCATTATTTGGACTATTTCATTTGAGTTTATAAAAGGGTCAACAGTTTGTGTTCTGTTTGATATTACTGTCTAACAAATGAGTAAAAGGCAACAATACAACCAAACTCTCCCTGTGATAATGATTAAACCATTTTGTAAAGAGTTGTAGTTGTTATAATTATAAATTATAAAGTAATAATAGTCATTAGTATACCGGTGAGTGGTGCAGGTGATGCTCATTATCAATTACTCCACCGGCCTCACTCCGTTCCCACGGCTCTCGGCCCCACCCCACTCGTCACACTGAGCAAAAATTTACTTTAAGTGGTTGAAAATAGTGAAATAACATGAATGAAAATAAGTGTCTGACCATTAGGAGTTCCTTCAAATGTTTAGAATGGCTCATTGCAGTAATACTCGATGACTGAATGATACTCATTGTTTGATCCATTGATAAACTGAACACCTTTAGCAGGGTCATCATAGCCAGTAGTGGCAAAGAAAAAAGAGCAGAGATAATTAAGCAAGGTAAACTGAATGTTAGAATTAAAAAAAAGGGTCATAACACACTGATGTTGTATCATATCATGGCAGAATCCAGTTCTAGACATTTGAAGGCCCTAGGAAAAATTTGTGTTGGAGCCCCCCCTGCACCGTTCCTCCCCTCCACCTTTCAGGATAAATAAAAACACTCGAAGCAAATATGATTACTAACCTTTTTATTTGTATATTTTACTAGCATTGGTGGATTTTTCCCTATTAATTAAGCTTTAACTAGGGTAAACACTATAAAACTCCTATTTCTTGTCTCTCTCTTTGCACTGTTGTTCTTCCAACTCACCATGGTCTGATGATGAAATGATTTTCACATCAGTTTGGAGCAAAAACTCTAGGCTACAAGATCCAGTTCTCAAAAGTCTTGTGAACAAATGTTCTGTATGTGTTTTATGGTCTTATTTCAGTGACCTTAAAAATGTAGTTTTTCACTAACCACGCATAAATGTTGCTTTCCCAAAAACACAGTCATGTACATACATGCTGCTCACATATTATTGTAGCGCAGTTTGTGCTGATTACAGTGTTATTAGATTTTAGCCATTTATATGTTTATAAGCAACTGAAAAAAGCACAAATGTCAGGGCATGTCAAAACTCCCCCAAAACCCCCTCAGACCCCAGAGGGTTAAAAACGGATAAATCACTGATTAAATGGTAATGCCATTAGATAAGCTACACTGGTTTGTACAGTAAGTCGTGACAGCATATTTTTAAGTTAAGTTAGTTTATTATAATTTAATTAGCAAATACTCATAGAGCCACAATAACTAAAAATTAAGTCAGCCAGGATTTTTTTCCCCCTTTGCAGTAATTTTTTCAGTAATTTATTTACAGTAACATCCACCCACTATTTGGGATAACAAAAAGTTTTGCCTACTCTATACAGTTAAATGGGGGAAATGAACTTCAGCCTTTATATAGATTGTTCAGTGACTCTTTTTGCAGGTTACATTGTTGCGGCAGTAGGTGGCGTTTTTTTCAGTCTTTATAATTTACTCAACAGATTCACTTTATGAGTAAGTCACTGAACTGATTCATTCAAAAACACTGATTCGTTCAGGAACTAAATGCTCACCAGCAGCCTGGAAGGATGCAGTAAATCCTGTGTGTGATTTAGGGTATGAATCATCATTTAGAAAAAAGAGCTGGAGATGGTTACCAGACACCACGATGGGCTTGTGACCTGGGTGAAAACTGTCTGTGGAATTCTGGCCACAAAACTTCCCCATAACCTTCTTATCAGACACAAGCTGAATGCAAAATAAAATGACATCAGACTGTATATTACTGTTGCTCAAATGACTGTGCAGTTCAAATGAGCTAAAAGCCAGTTAAAAGGCAATATAAATCTTTACTGTGATTAGATTTTACAGTATTTTGAAGCGAGGAAACACTTAAAAAGGAAAGCCATAGCAGACACACAGCTTTTTCACAAAAATTATAAAGAAGGTAAAAGGTGTATACGTAGTTTTTCCATGGCTATGCTTGCGGTGCCTCTCTAATGACAGAGCAAGGGTCTAACAGTCATGTTAAAAGACAGATTTGTTTGATTTGGCTGTGCTACAAAAACAGTGAAAGCAAAATATATGAGCTAGAGAGTCTTTTTAGGCCAGAGGGGAAAGTTAAAGTCTGCAGACACAATTTTAGGTAGTACTTCTATAGTGTAGGTCTAAATTGTGGTTTGTTTACAATATGTGCTACCCTTTTTATAGAAAATAAATAAATAGAAATGGTCAGCGAGAGGTTCATTTTTTATTAGATTTTTTTTATGTCTTACAGGGGACAAAATCATCTTGCACAGCGGATGTTAATTATTTGCCATTGTTTCTTCAATCCAGCCCAGGTAGTTCTGCACTTTAGTGTAGTAAGCTTTAGAAACTTGACCACATCTTACAGGACCCCATGACACAATGCCCCTCACCTCGTAGCGCTGCTCTTTAGTTCCATGACCCAACATGGGGAAGAACAGAGGACCCCCACTGTCACCTTGACAACTGTCAACATGCTCAACATCATCTCCAGCACAGAACATGTTATCAGTGACAGGCAGGTCCTCGAAAACACACTGCTTAGAAGAATATTCCCGAATATGCCCATAACGTAAAATTTCACTTGTTAAGCCCTCTTTAAACCCTCCAAAGCCTGATACTGTTCCCATTGTACCCTCCATTACAGATTCATGTGTTTTGTTTGGCAGACACACTGGCCTGATGTTTGGACCGAGAGGCACTCTAGCAGACATTTTGATCAGTGCAATATCATTATCATAGTTTGTTTGATGACCCCTGAAAGAAACCCTCTGATAATTTGGGTGAATTATAATCTTCTCTGCCTCCATAATGACTGGGTTTTGGTTCCTAGCTTTAGTTATTCCACCAAGCCAAGTCATGTTAATGTTTTCAAGTCCATCTACCACATGAGCAGCTGTAAGAGCCCAGTAATCACTGATCAGAGATGCACCACCTCTGGTATGAGTCTTATGGAGAAGCTGCCAGGGAATCTGTCCTGGTCTGGCTGGCATCCCACCAAAGACTCTGCCACCAACACTGACTTCTGTGTTCATTCCACACTCTAAAAAATGTAAAAAAGAAACAAATATATGAACATATGTGTAATGTAAAATAAAGTTAAATAATAATAGTGCAAATGCACAAAATAATAATAATAATAATAATAATAATAATAATAATAAAATCTCTCTTTATCTGTCTGTTTGTCAAGCCACAATTATTACCAGGATAACAAGGTGGAATAATATCATTGTTGTTGACTTCTGTCCATTTTCTTTCAACTGCACACCTGTATGTTACTACACAAGTGAAAGAAAGAAAGGAAATGAGGTCATGATTCATCAATCACAAAGAATAACGGTGGGTTTTGTACAGTATCTGACCTTTGGCAGTATCCTTAAATCTGTAGTATGGCTCATTGCAGTGATACTCTATGACCGAAAGATATTCATTGTTTTCTCCACTGATAAACTGAAAGTCTCCATTCAACAGCAGCTTTGGAGCTCCACAGTCAATAACTGTAATGTGGATGATACATAGGAATGAAATGATGAATGGATACAGTGTAGTCCAATGCAAAATCAGGCGATGAGTATTTACTCACTCTTGCACTCTGGCAGTGTCAAATGCCATTTTCCATTACTCTGACATATGGACTTAAAACTTGAAATCTCCTTCTCTCCCTTTAAGAAGGCAAAGGTAAATGCTTTATGAAATCATCACCATATTTCCCCATCGAATCCTTGTCTATAATCATTAATGCACTCTTAGGGGCTGTTCACACACAATTCATTTTTGTGTTCCACTGCGCTGCTTTTCTATGGGTTTTCTATGTAAACATGCGCTTTACTGTTGCGCTCATGTATTGTATCTATCTTTTGCAGCATCTCACACATGACACAGTGTTCTAAAAATTATCAACTTTTTTAATATGTGTCTTTCATTCCACTGCCCCTTGTCTCGCATTTTTAACCACAAAAACACTTCTTTGTGAATGGCCCCTTAAAGTTCTTGCTTTACTATCAGCATTATTGTAAACCTCACCATCATGAGCTTGTATCCTGGCTTACAGCGCACATGAATGTAGTCTCTGTACAAGTACTGGGCAAAATTTGGTGTGACTGTTCCATTGCCGATAATGCCTGGATGTGGACACTGTACCCCTTTAAAAAAGATGTGAGGAAATTGGACTAATTAGCACCACAGATATTTGAGGATTTATAATATTAGTGTTCTGGTATCCACTGTTTTTCTCAAAAAAAAAAAAAAAGGAAAAAAATGTTTTCTTTCTCACTCTGTGTGGTGTAATGTAAGCTCCACCCCTGACTCTGTCCATATCTGTCAGTGTGATACTCCAGCTGGACAAAGTGAGCGCCTGTGTTCAGGACTTCGGGGCTTTTTCCGCCACAGTACTTTTGGGGCTTTTTTCCTTGGACAGACACCTGAGAAAGAATGAAAAGCAGATAAACATAGAAATAAACCTAAAAATGAACAAATATGAAGATATTTCATGAAGATATATAACCTATAGCAAAGCATACTTGCAGCCAATGGAAGAGGCATGTCTGTCCTTGATTGTAGACCTGCTCTATGTGGAAGTTCTGGCTGAAGTTGAGAGTGATCATGAAGCCTGGCTGCACAGAGATGGTGTAGACGCAGTCCAGATCAAGAGGGGACATGTCTGGGAACCCAGGACTCGAGATGGTCCCCTCTAATTCACTGTGCACCCCACCTCCACACTCCACTAACACAGGGAAGAAACGCAAACCACTTGCTACACGTTATCACTCTTTTTGCCTGTATGTAAAGCTAGATTATGGTTTATATGGTGTTTTTTTTTTAGTATATTTATGTACTATGACAGTTTTTGTTAACATTTTGTTGATATTTTGAATTAGCTTTTATTTTTATATTGTTAGTATTCATTCTAGATTTTTGTAAATTTGTAGATTTTTTGTTGTTGTAATTTTGCTATGCGCTTTTAACATTTTGTTTGTTTACTATTATTTTTCATTCAATATTTGTATTTTATTTTATTTCAGCTTTATTTCAGTTAATACAAATGTTTTTAATAGTTTCGTTTTAGTTAATGATAACCCTGGTTTATTGTTTATATATATTACATTATTCGTATAACTATATTGTTTTCTTTATGCTATTATTTTGATGACCATTCATTAGAATGCAATGATTAAATGCAATTAAAATTGTAAATAGAAATTGCAAATAAACTATTAAAAATCACAATTTAAAAAATGTTTCAGCATTTAGAAAAAATTCCAGAAACATGGTAAAACATCTTTTAGAAAATTAAAACTGTGTTTAGAACCACTAACGTCCATCAAATAAGCAGTGTGCTGGAAATGTAAACATCACAGCGCCTGGGGATTTATTAATGAACACACTCACAGACACAGGTGCGTTGGTCGGGCCGTAACATGTAACCATGGTGACAGGCACACAGGTAGGAGCCAAGAGTGTTGAGGCATATCTGTGAACATGGTGCGTTTTCCACACTGGAAGAGGAACACTCATCTATGTCTAAGGGAACAGGTATAGAAGCATTAAATGATGCACACAAAAAGTTACGGCGTTACTACAGCACTGAATTATTTCATTATGTTTAATTAAATAACATACAACACAAGCAACAGTACTGTTGTTCCAATATTCAGCATATTGCTTTTAAACAAAGAAATAAACAAGAAATAAATATTTACCAAATTTCAGACACAATATTTTAGACCAGTTAGTATGTCTATTTTTGTTGTGGCAATGAAAATAGTTTCAAACAAAGCCAACGATGAATTGACCATTCCGTGTCCCAGAGCAACACACCATAGTTGAATCAGTGTTTTTAAACAAAACCATTGAGCGAATGATTCAATGACTCACTTATAAAGACAGACAGTCACTTGTCTGCACCAACTATGGTGTATCAATGTATACTGTAGATAGTATCAGTTTCTATCCTAAGTTGTGAATTTATCTTATTAAATTTAACTTACAGAAAATTGCAATATTGCATTAAAGAACTGAGAATATAGCACATTTCCATCCCACGTGTCCAAGAGAAGAAAACTGTCATTTCCTGTGAAATTGGCACAAAAAAATTCATTGGTGCCTCAGATGCCTGATGTTTGGGAATGCAATTTATTTGGTTTTGTGCATATCTTCTTATTGAATTAAAAAAAAACATAACTGCATGCCTTAGCATTTCTATTCGCCCTTCCCCCTCTGTATCCCAAAATTTCCATAAAAATTTGTGGATGGAAAAACAGCTACAATCAAATATACAATATAATACAATACTAATCAATATTGTGATGTGCTTCAAATATGTATATAACTCACCAACAGCCTGATAGAATGCGGTGAATCCCAAGTGTGACTCGTGATTTGAGTTATCTGTTAGAAAAACCAGCTGCAGACGGTTACGAGGAGCCAAGATGGGCTTGTCACCCGGGTGAAACCTGTCTATGGAATTCTGGCCACAAAACTTCCCTAGAACCTTATTATCAGACACAACCTGCACATAAAAAAAATCACAAGTGCTGATGCATTAGAAACTAAATAGGCTTTGATAAATAAATGTCTTATAAAGCCAAATGTAGTCACAATGACATTTTGAACCTAATTTATAGTGCATGGAGTATGACTTTCTTTGGAGTTGTTTCCCCACAACACAAAATACAACACAGCAGATTGTGCAACTCAAATGAGGTCACAACACTCATTGTGTATTTTATATGAAGACATCCACATGATACTGAAGTTCTAAGTGGAAGCGTCACTAACCGAGACCGAATCGTAATAACAGTCTGGAGAGGGCTCAATGTCCAGGTGATTGAACGTTAGCTGGATCTGGTAGCCTTGAGGCACCTCCAGGTCCCATTGTTCCTGGAAGTTTGCTGGATATGGTTGAGGGTACTGTGGAGAAGACACCTCCCCAAACATGGCTGGCTCACACTCACACACATTCACACATGCCCACAGCAGGCTGAATCAGTGTTTCAGTAGAAAACAGAAAAAGATCACAATCAATCGTGTTGCTGGAATAATTTAGTTAATAGACTAAATACACATGGGATGTTATGAGATTGTTATGAAATGCTGACATCCACCAATGACTGTTATTAAATTAATCACACAATTTAAATTCTATTTTGTAATATATGCAAATTTGAAGAATAAAATCTAAAAACAACTTACCAAATTATTAGATGTATTCCATCCATAACAAGTACGCAGATGTCAGTAGCCGTTTGACTAAACTGTTTATGCAGTCATGAAGTTTTCTTGTGATAATGTGGTGAACAATCACATATGAGCGAACAAGAGTCTAAAAGTCATCAAAAATGGTAAACTTGTTTGATTTGGCTATGGCAGAAGAAAGAGAGAGAGAGATGTGAGCACTTTTCCCGTAAACCATGCGTTTTAAACCCGTTTACTCAAACAGTAAGGGTTAAAGTCTACAGAGATAATTTTCATGAATCTTTCTTTACAGATTATTAGATGTTTCCATCCTTGTCAGATACAAAGAAGGCATTTCTAAAGCAGTTTTGAGGAAATAAATCATAATTCATAAATCTTCACTGTTTCATATGGGATGCAACGCAGGTGGAAAACCTTTAAAAGTCAGGTTTGTTTGATTTGGCTGAAGATGAACACTAATCTGGAAAGGCACTGCAACATGAAAAACACATAAAAGAAAAAAGAGAGATGTGACAGGCTGGGCAACCCACGAGCACTTTACCTGCTGGATTACCTTTGAAATTAGTGTAATGTTGTTAACATTAGACAAAAATGGCCTTGCCAGAACATTTGATATAAAATAGGAAATAAGACGCTGAAAATCTTTACATGTGAAAATGGTTTTATTGGTGAGTATAAAATAACTTAATATAAAAGTTTCAAAATTCTGAATTATTCATAGAAATAGCAGATGCGTATACATAGATCAGATACAGCAAAGAGTAACTTTATTACAGTTAACAATTGGTGTAGGTGTATATTATTTTAGTGCTTGGATGTTAGTTTTTTTCTATGGTTTCCTTGATCCAATCCAGGTAGTTTTGGACTTTAGTATAGTAGCCCTTAACGCTTTTATTCCCACATCCAATAGGACCCCATGAAACAATGCCTGTAAGACGATAAGGCTTGTCTGGAGACCCATAGCCCAGAAAAGGAGAAAACAAAGGACCTCCACTGTCACCTTGACAACTGTCTACTTCATCTCCTCCAGCGCAGATCATGTTATCGGTGACAGGCAAACCCTCTGAATCACATTCATCAAGTGGATGTATCTGGACATGTCCATAAAGCAGATATCTACTACTTTTATCTTCTTTCATTCTTCCAAAACCTGAGATTGTGCCCTCCTCCACAGGTTCATTTTTTTTCTTTGGGAGACACACTGGCCTGATGTGTGGACCTAGAGGCACCCTGGTAGACATTTTGATGAGTGCAATATCATTATCATAGTTAGATGGAGAATCTCTACCAACTCTTTGATAATTTGGGTGAATTATGATCTTCTCAGTCTCCATAGAGACTGGGTTTTGGCTTTTACCATCAACTATTCCCCCTAACCAATTCATTGTGGTTGTTTCGTATCCATCCACTACGTGAGCTGCTGTTAGAGCCCAGTAATCATTGATTAAAGATGCACCACCTCTGGGACTTTTCTTATGAAAGAGCTGCCAGGGAATCTGTTTAATTAATGCTGGCTTCCCACCAAAGACTCTTCCACCAAAAGAGGTGTCTGTATTAATTCCACACACTAAAAGAGAAAGAGAGAGAAATAAGAAATATATGAAAAAGAGATATGTTAAGATAAAGTATATCTGGGTTTATACTTTATAGGTGTATTCAGAATGAATACCTGGTTCACATTTAGGCAAATCTTCTGTTAATTTTTGACCACTCTCAGACACCCAGTTACCATCAGCATTACAGGTAAAATTACCTGAGGAAAGCGAAGACAGTGAAAAATGTAGAACTAATTAGTATTTTGGTAAAAATTACATCAACATAGTTCACATAAACCATACACATCTCACCATTTTTATCCAGTTGATAAAATTCATTTTCACACTTGAGACTGATCTGGTTCAGATAAGTTGTTGAAGGATCTTTTTCTGATAGCTCCATTAATTCAGGAAGCTCTGGAATGCCGCAATCCACAGCTAAGGAAGAAAACAAGTGCTTTTAAGTTTAAACGCCTTAATGATAGAAATGTTTATTACAAACACGCAACTTTTTGCTTCACAGGATGTTAATTAATGGACAGGATTTGTGTTGATTACATGTGGATTATTGCAGTGTTTTTATCAGTTGTTTGAACTCTCATTCTGACGGCACCCATTCACTGCAGAGGATTCACTGGTGAGAGAGTGATGTAATGCTACAGTGCTTTTTTTTTATGACACATGAACATTTTCAGCTTCCTGCATTTTGGATGTGTCTCCAAACCTAGCATTGTACTCTTGGTGTGCCCACCATGCATCCAATTGTATGCCACAAGTTTGTGCTAGGTTTTGTGAGCTTGTAACATTGCATGACATTATTTACTGTATATAGGAAGAACGGCAGTGAAACAGACTATTTAATTCTAAGATTAGAGAGAGGGAGAAAAATGGTCAGTTAAAAATGAATTAGCCTATGTCTATAAAAAAAGCGAATTGTTCAGAAATCAAGACAAGAAGGTATTATAAGAAGACATTTTCTCACGTTCACAGGGAATAACAGGACTCCACTGTCCATTCTTCTGGCATGTGGCTTCATACTCAACCTCAGCTGATTCATGCTATGGAACATTTCATGCTAAATGTGAGTTTCAATGATTAAAAAAAAAGGTTTGACTCATAAACTAAAGTACATGCTGATATATCATGCCGACTGATATCATCTAACAGCAAAACATAATATCCAAATTTTAAAGCAATATGCATTTCAATTATATTTATTAAAATATAATTTCCTAATATGTGACCCTGGACCACAAAACCAGTCATAAGGGTCAATTTTTTTTAATTGAGATTTATACATCAGCTGAAAGCTGAATAAATAAGCTTTCCATTGATGTATGGTTTGTTAGGATAGGACAATATTTGGCCGAGATACAACTATTTGAACATCTGGAATCTGACGCTGCAAAAAAATGAAAATATTGAGAAAATCGCCTTTAAAGTTGTCCAAATGAAGTCCTTAGCAATGCATATTACTAATCAAAAATTAAGTTTTGATATATTTACGGTAGGAAATTTACAAAATATCTTCATGGAACATGATCTTTACTTAATATCCTAATGATTTTTGGCATAAAAGAAAAATCGATCATTTTGACCCATACAATGTTTTTTTTGGCTATTGCTAAAAATAAACCCAAGCGACTTAAAACTGGTTTTGTGGTCCAGGGTCACATATAATAATATTCTGTTAAATATTATCAATTTAACTGAATTATATTTCATGAGACTTTATTTACTAATATTATATTACAAATTTTAATAGATATTTAAAAGTACATTTTCTAAAATGTCTCTCAGCAAACCCATAACTTTAATCTGTGGCCCTTCAGCCTTAGAAGGTCAAATCAATCAGCCTGAAATACTTACTGATTTTAATACATATCCTTTGTCACATTTCACTGTAACTTTGTAGCCCATGGGATATTCAGAATGCTGCAGGTTCAGACTAGATTTTGGTGTCACAGGTCCAGTACATTTCATCCCTGTAACAAAGCAAACAAACAACAACATAACATGTAAAGAAAGAACTCTCAGCACTTTTCAATCAACCATCAATATTCAGATTAGTGATACATCAACATGAGTTTTTCGATGGAAGATTCTCAGATTATGTTGTCCCACCAATCCTGAACATGCAGTATATCCTTGTTTAGTGTTAAGGATGGGTTGGCAACAGGCACACCTCTCGTTTTGTAACTGAGGCTAAACCCCCGGTTTGCTCCTTTATGGTCTGTCCTGAAGATAATCTCAACACGTTGAGACCTTGTGAGGAGGGACGGAGGGACATCCCTTCCGCAAAATGTCTTAATGTCACCATAGAGAGGTTTTATCTAGATGGAATGAATACAGAAGGAGAAAAGAGGTCAACGAGGAGAAATACAAAGAGAAAGAAACAATTCAATTGCTTCAAATTGCATTAAACATGTTGCATACAGTTAATGAGTCGATGCACTGTCCATTCTCTTTCTCCACATCAAATACCCCCCCAAACGTCAGCTCAAACTGCAGACCCTCTTCTACAGCCAGAGTGTAAGAACACAAAGAGTTTTCAGGGTACGGCTCGGGCCAGTCAGGTGACATCAGCACACCTTCTTGAGAGCCTGTGCGATCTTCACTGCAGCTAACTGACACACAGAGAGAAAACAAAACTGTGTCACTGCTTTAGGGATTATGTATAAAATAGGTCTGTCAAGTAAATAAAAAATTAACTTAATTACGTGTCAAATTAAAGACTTATATTGCATAACCAATTTAAAGATGTACGTTTCAAAAACATGTCTTGTGTGGATTAGCGAAAACTTGAAGACAATTAAGTACTGCAGCCGTGACGTCAAAACCCTGAAGGCTTATTTGCCACTGGTTCCCTCAAGATTGTCCTATGGGTTTTTATAATGCGGTTTTTCAGTTCATGAGTAAAGGCAGAGTCAAATGTACAATCACATTCTTTTTATTATAAGCGCATGCTGCAGTCATGTTGTCTGCCATGTTAAATGCTCAAGTTCTTGAATTCAGGCTGGCTTTCAATGTTTTAATCATTCATCACCTGGAAAAATCATTCTGAAAGTGATTCCAACAATATAGTTTCTCTGTGTCGTTATAGCAGTGTGGAGTTCCCTATTCCCATAGAATTACAATGATTATTAAAAACTTTAGTCTTAGTTTAGTCTTGTTGCTATGCTGATTGTTTAGCACATTTTCATCTTTTTTCTTAGTGGAAGCATATACAAATTATGAAATTATTTGATTTCAAATCAATATTTCATGTCCATGTACAGTATATATTTACTTGCTAAGTAGCTATGTAAAATGCAGAATAAAAACAAGAATTATTTTTAATAATGACTGGTTGACTGTATTCCTTTCATAATTAATTGCACTAAATCAACAAGAGAGCCAAAATACACGTTTCAAAATCTCATTCAACCACAACCATTCATCATTACCTTGGCAGGTGTGCTTATCAGAGTCAAGGATGTAACCTGGTCTGCAGAAACAGCGATAACCTCCAATGTAGTTATTGCAGAGTTGGGTGCATTCATTTTCAGGGTCCTTACACTCATCAACATCTATAAGTCAGCAGAATTTGAGGTTAAAACTTAGATCAGCAATAACCAATAACACTCTCAGTGACCCACAAAT